CTCGTTTCGTTCTGCTCAGTTCTGGAGCTAAGTCGTTCATCATATTGATTTCCCGACCTAGATAGACATAGCTGGAGCTTTCGGAGATACTCGTTCCGTTTAGCGTAAGTGAGAAATACAAAACCAATCCGTTCTTCATGTACATCGTTTTTGTGAGGTTTAGTCGATGACCATTCTTTCCACAGGTTTTATCAAAGTCGGCAAGCATACGTTCCGCTTGGCTAATGTTTACTGTTTGTCATCAGCGAACCGAAGATGGTGTAACTGCCGACCATCGATTTTCATTCCCATATTATCCCATTCCACGGCGTTCTGGAGGACGGCGGTAAGTAATTTTGGCGAGATGATATCGCCTTGCCTAACTCTTCTTTTGACGTCGATGTTGATATCGTTGCAGAATGGTGATATCATGGTTTTGAAATTTTTGTACAGCTCACGAAGAATCTTTATGTACTTAGCAGGGATTCCTTGAAAATCAAGGGCTTCCACGAAGGCTTCTGTATCAATTGAGTCAAAGGCCTTCTGTAAATCGATGAAGGTGAGACAGAGCGGTCTTTTGTACTTTCGCAATACTTCAGTGAGCCTTGTCATCGTGTGGATGTGGTCCATCGTATTAAATCCTTTTCAGAACTCTGCTTACTGAAATGGTTGTCCTTCCAATGTTCTATCAATCTTGTTTACGATGACTCGAGTGAAAAGTTTGTAGACGACAGACAGCAAGCATATTGGGCGATTGTTGCCGATATCGCGTAGGCGCACCCTTCTTGAACAATAACACGGTCTTGTTCTTTCACTGAATAGGGACCTTGCATTCACACAGGTAACGTTTGAAGAGCCGAGCCAGTGTGTCTACGAGGACTGGCGGAAGGTTCTTCAGGTGTTATGGTCTTATCCTGTCTGGACCTGGTGCTGTTCGATTTTTCACCGACGAGATGGCATATGAGGTTTCGGAAGTGAGCACTGGTGGTACAACATATCCATCCTCCTTTATTACATATGACGAGAGTTCTGAGTAGTATTCGTGAACGATTTTCTCCATTGTCTTTCTGGACGCTGTTACTGTTCCATCTGGGCGTGGGAGAGTAATCATTTTGGTCTTGTAATTGGCGAAGCTTTAGTGGGCTTTGCGAATGCTTTTCCCAGTCTTCGCAGCTTCGACCATTACTGCTACTCTCCTCTTTTTAAGATCTTCTTTTATCGCCTGTCTGCATTGTTCTACAAGTTCGGACGTTAGTTTACGGTTGCCTGCAGCCCGATCGATTCCACGCTGGCGTGTCAGCTCGACAATTTCTGGAGACAGGCGTCTCTTGGTGACTTTCGAACTCTCAGCTTTCATAGAGCTAACGTGAGGATGTTGAATGAGCTGATCATATTCTTCGCTAACGTTATCGACAACGTCACTTTCCCAACAACCGAGTAGGGAATTGAATAAGTCCCAGTTGATGGTGGTTCTAGGACTTACTATGATGTGGTCTATTTCGTTATGGTACTCTATATTGGAAGACTCCCACGTCCAGCGATGAAGGTGTGGTTCCTGGAATTGCGAGTTACCATGGATGATCTTGGTCGGCATGATAAACTCAGAGAGCCGCTCACCCTGTTTGCTCCATTCTAATCCGTGGGTCCCAATGTGACGTTCTTCAGACGTTCTTCAGACGTTCTTCTTGGTCCAATCTTGGCGTCGGAATCTCCAATGATGACCTTGAAAAATGTGTGGTCTACTTTGTAGAACTTCTCCAAGTCTATATAGAACGCTTCGATTTCTTCTTCGTCATAGTTTGATATCGGCGTGTAAACGGCGAAGATTGTCAAAGCCGAAAATGATCCACATCTTTTTAATCGTAAACCTCCGATTCGGGTTGTAAGTTGTTCGAATGAATCGATGTTCATGAACAAGCTCGTGTTGACGAGAGCGCCGACGCTACTGTCGCATGTTCCGAGGAACAGTTCTTTTCCGGTGTCTTGGACGGCGTTGAATGGGTGGCGTCGTCTCGGCCAGGCCGATGGCGTCTTACCTTATCCTTCTTGCTTGCGTGAGCAAGTCTATCGAGGGCTCAGATGCAAGCGTACGTGCATTGTAGGTACAGATCGTCACCTTAGTTATTCGTGATCCAGGCAGCTTCCATTGGTCCTGAGATTTTAGCGGCCTCTCCATACTCGTCCTACCCAACGCTGCGGGATCGGTGGCTCTTTCGTGATCAATGGAATGAGGCCCGTTTGTTTTACTGTTTAACCTTTGTTACCCAGATCTAGCTTGTCTGAGCTCTGACCGTGGGGCTTGGCGTACTCACGGATAGCTTTCCAGTCTCTGGCAGAGTAGACATGGGACTCATTTGTTGGAGGCGCCTCCTAACCGCCACCCATGTACTTCCCTTTCACTTGATTGCGGGCTTTTGGCCGAATTAACTCGTAGAATACAATCCGCATAAGCGAGAACGCACCCACACACGCATGTATGAATACGCCTTGCAAATACAGAATGTGTGTGAGATGTCGGTGCTGCAGAAACAGAGAGACGATCACCTGGATCCACCTGCGTCTCAGGTAAGCAAAGGTCGGTTTTGGTCCACGATTACCCCTATCCGCCACTTGGGGACACGTCACGTAGCCTCACGACTGACCGGCTATCGGGTTCCCTCGTATGGGAGATCCGTAGTATCCAAGGTATTGTATCTATGGAGGCATTACATGTTATTTCTTCGATAACGTGGCTTAAAATGATAGAAGTAAAACCTTCTGAAGGAAATTGCGTAGTCCTGAATTTTGAAGCAATTCTTCTAGATTTTCTGCAGATTTTAATTGTAGGTCTACGATGCGTTTGCGGAAGAACAGCTTATGCTGATATGCACCTTATTTCTTTATGTGTATGCACCTTTGTGCTTATTTCGAAAGTTTCCGTTCAACCCTTGTAACTATTATTTGGTGTATATCTGGAAGAGTGCAACTTCCTTCTTTGTACAGCACGAGGAATCCATCGACACACACGTGATAAGTTCGTTAAGTGGTCTGATCTTGTTGAACTTCTGTTCCTCCTCTTTGTTTACATTGTTGGCCAAATGAAGGTGAGTAATCAGCCGCTCAAATCGTTCTCTTGTCATTATTTTTGATTTATTAGTATTACATCCATCGATAGTCGCTCAAATGTGTCAGCCGAGTTCAAAAACGTCGGTTCCCACGTATGATCACTCTTTATCCGTATTTATTGGTCTCTTAACAAATGATGACAGATTCTAGTTGTAAATAATTAGTAAAATACGGTTGGTTCCATGCATCCAAGCAAAGGATGCTCAACCTGTAGATATGCTCAGGGTTGACTCCGATCACAGATCTAGAAATCACGAGATACCACATCATTTATCTGCCTCTAATCACGCCTTAATCATAGTTCTTATCCTCCTAGTCACTCTTTTGAGTTTGAGCGATCCTGATCACATCAGATTCCTCGTTTTCCTTAGTATATTCAGCATCTCGTTAACTCTCGATAAATGGTCGATCGAAGTTATGTTCAATTAATCTTCTGCAAAAATGAGTCGGACGTTTAAAGTTTTTTTTTTGGCCGACATATTCGTAGCTTTTGTACTAAATGAGTGAAAATAAGAGTCACATAAAAGTAACTGGATAGACAGGGGACGGATAGCACAGTGGTACTGATGTTCGTCATTACGAGCACGGTGCTGGTAGGATTGGGCTCCGGGCCAGCCAAGTTACTGATCCCTCCGGGATCGGGAAATTGCTGGAAAAAAATGACTCTGTGCGATCCGACTGGGAACGCTCCGGGTCGGCTGTTTCAGGACTTCAGGGAAAATTGCTCGACCAGCATTCTACGACATTCAAGATTAAATGAAAATCCTCGAGCAGCAACCGAAGCCACACGTAAAGGTTGGAAGATCTTCATGGACAGTGGATTCGATGAAACGAATCGAATATGAGAAATGACTTTTCTTAGTGTCTGTTCTTAGCAGGATAAAAGTGTGAAATACAACCACAAGTATGCTGAAATTAGAGAAACACTCGGGATCTCAGGTGGGCTTCGAAACGGCGATTACCCTTTGCTGGTACTCGGACGGCACTGTCAAAGGACAGTCAGTGCAGGGGCCCTGGATTACCTCGTTTGGAGTAGTGAATATTACGTGATCCCCCAGAAAGGGTTATCGCGAAATCGAATCTCGACATTGTTCCAAAACTGACTACTGAAGATTCACAGTGCCACGGTTCGATGTTGGATGCCTTTTTTATCGTGTTCCACATACCATACTTGGAAATGCTCCAGTATTTAGAATGTGGAAAGGTGTGTAGAAAAACCCATAGTATACGAAAGATGGAAACACCACGAAAATTACTGTCAAAGTATATATATACATATATATATATATATACATATATATGCGTATATATGTACATATGTATATATATATATAATATATAAGAAAGGTGGCGCGTGTGTTGCAATGGTCGGAGACGCCCCTGCAATACACATGGGATGATAGATCTCCGCGCCCATAGGCCCACCTGCCTTCCATCCCTCCGGGGTCGGCAAATTGCTACCAGATTTGTCTGGGAAGATAGCAGCACTGGCTCGATACATCGCTAGGCCACCGCGAGTCATTGTAAAAGCCAGATATGCATTCAGTCACCTCTAACGATGCTTAATGAAGTCGAATGCATGGCACATCCCTCAGGGATTGATCAACGCCGAGAGCTTTATCTTTATCCTTTATATATATAGGCTGAATTATGATGGAGCGAAGAAAGGCATTTAAGAAAGAAAACTTGGTGTGGTCTCGTAGGACGTATATGACGTATAGGGCAGGCATAACGTAGAATACCAATCATATGTGATTCGTAGTGTGCGCGAAGAAAATTTCGGTGTCGTCGTGAAAAAGTTAATGGTTTTACTCTGTTTAGCGATCACAACAAATTATTTTTATTAAACTATAAGGCTCATTAATCTCAATAGAATATCCATCTCGTTTGTACCATGTTTTTCATCACGTCAGGAAATGTTTTGGAATTTAAACATTTGTTATTCTGTTCTATTCACAGCATCCAATGAAGCTGGAAAAAATTCCGACGATGATCTCGGTGAAGATGTGGCAGATTCTTTGAAAAGGGTATGTGATTGAGCAAGTATGAGGTACAAGTAGTATTTTCCAGCTTCTTATTTTTTACAATTTCATTTTTATAGTCTGTTTTGAGTTATTCAGCAAGCGTCAGTTGTTGATTGATGACTGCATATTTGCGGAAACAAGATCAGTACAGTCTTCGTTCGGCAAAATTTTTTTCGCGTGAAGAAGGGAAAGCTGCAAATTTTAAGCAACAAAATTCACAATATGGTCTAAAATTGGAGTTATTCAACATCTTCAGGCGATTTTGAGATTAAACCGTCATCGACAAAATCGGAAAGGACTGTTTTATACAGAACCACGGTATTGGTGAGTTTAAAAGTATAGGAGACGTCTTTCACCTGACATACTCAAACTAGTACGCCGAAGTGGAGTCGTATGAACGATATTCATCTACCATTTTGTGTGAGGTCTTGTTAAGCTTTACGACGGAGTGTTAAATGAAATACATAAAGAGGAGAAGACCAAGTTGTTCCACAAAAATGGACACCATGACATCGCCAACTGAACAAAATGCTCACCACCTATCGTCGGCAGTCTTTTCATCGAAACTCTCTCGATTGACCATTAAAAGAAGCATAGCAGTGCGACCAGAAAAGTTCCGAAAGGGAGTTAACAGAATGAATTACTTCACTGACTTAGAAATCGTCTTCGACTTAATTTAGAGAGAAGCGATCGTGGAAACTGCACCGCGTTAGGAGTGTTACTCAATGCACAATGTTGCTTTGCTTCATGTTTTCGCCATTTTAAAACGATATTGTCGACATAAAGAACGAGGTTGGAAACAACGATACCAATTGCTATTAATTCAATAGAACTATCCACCTATACCCTCAACAAAGTTTCTTAAAGACCCAAATGTGGTAATATGGCAGCAAAAGTCGTAAGCGGATAGCTGATGGCATCGTCGGTTCCTTGTTACATTTCATTATAAAACTAACCATTACAGTTTCGAGGGATGAGTTTTTGGCTGAACATGGAGGCAGAGTTCATGGGAAATAGATTTGTTCCTGATAGGTGGTTCTCACGGTGAACTGACAGGACATTTCTGAATACTCCCGTTATGCATATTCTAATGAGGGCAATGCAATCAAAAACATAGCGCCAAAGCTGTGTAAGAGAGACTGAGTCAGAGTATTAATTGAAGATTTGAACACGTCGTGAGAAGAACGAAGAAGTTGCAGACCTGCATCCAGTTCTTTAGCTCCACTGTACTCCCTGCAACAAAGTTACCTTCAGAAACTTCGCTGTTACTTAATTAGTTTTTTAAAGGACATCTGGTTTAGCTGCAAAGCTGCGAGACACTAAGCGATGGGCACTAAACAATTTGGCAATCTGGTCAGAATTCCTCGTTCAGTGTGGTCCTCTCAAGAGTATGACTTTGTGCGATCTGAACACACTGGACAGCTGTGATACGATGATACCTGAAATCAGTATCTTCCAACTTTGTTGCCGAAATATTACCCGATATCTCTTTTCGAAAATACGCGTACACATTTGTAGGTGACGTTGATCTAGTGCTTTTATTTTCTTGTAAAATTTTGTGCCTTTAATTCTTATCTAAAGTTTTCCTTTTTTCTAAGGAAGTTACTTTTCTAAAACTATGTATTATGGCAGATATAGCGAATAAATAAACCTTATTCTTGCATCTGAAGACGATTTTTTATAGATATGCGCTGAAGTACGCGAGGATCGAAATAGGGTTCGAAGGTGCATACAAAGGCCCACCGGTGTGAAAAATTGCCTGTTTATAGCGGTGCAAGGTATGGTTTTGTTCCTGAAATAACAAGAGTAATGTAAAGGGGAGTTGTGGTTTTCACGAAATATGGGCTTTATATTCGACTGGATAACAATTAAGCAGCTTTTAGGTTTTCATAAACTTTGTAGTCGACGTGTTCACTTTTCTTGCTTTCTTTTATACTTACTTTTTTTTACTTTTCTTATGTGGTTCGATTTTCCCAGCTTGTTTACAAAGTAGCCATTATGAAGTTTGAGCGCAGTTTTGATCTTTGGAACATTTGAAAAGTTTTATTGTCGATCTTAAGTAGTCGCTGGTTCCCTGCTTCGTCGTGTACAAATTATCCAAATAGGTGGTCCTTTCATCATGCATTGAATGAAAAGGATTTCGTTAGACGCACATCAAAGTTTTTATGTTCCTGATTGCAGCCTTAAGCCCTCTCTGTGTTCTGCAAACCTTTAAATCTTAGGAGCTGTTTATTTGCCAAGGAGCGTTGATGCAGTCCATGCAGTGGTGCTTTTGACAAACTTCTTTGTTATGGCAAGCCTTAATATTTCGTAATTCATCTCCTAAGGTTGAGCCACATGCATGACCTTAACCTCCATCATCACGTTAAATACTAATGCGGCATGCGGAAAGTTTTTCTTGGGTCATCGTGGGTAGTGAACATTTTTGAAATACTTGTGGTCTGCATGAGCGATGACCCGTTTTTCATTTCTTTTTTGCAATCGTTCCCGTCAAATTTTTATCAGCATTAAAAATTAAGTGCCAATCACGCACTTCTCCTATTGATAGAACGCATTTTATAATAATTTGAACTGGTATGTTTATAATGTTCAATTTACAGACGCTGACGTAGTGGATCTCGCCGAGCGAATGGTCACCTATGCGCAGTCATCGAGACAATGTCGATATCTACAGGTTGGCCTTATATTTAACGCTTTCTTTTACAAACAGGGTAGCGTTTTTGGTAATTTTCATAGAAATTTCCGAGACTTGCTCAAAACGCGCTCGAGATCCTATTCCAGAGAAATTCTCTCAGCACATACTGAACTTTACTAATTGACATAAGGACCATAAGGTTCTGCAGTTCTTTACTAATAAGATGCAAGTTTTCTTATTCTTAATCCATCATGAATTCCTGTTTCTCTATGGAATCAAATATCTTCCTCTTTCCTTTTTCCATGGAGCCTCGTGTTTCGAAAGGAGAAACCATTGAACAAACGTGCTCTTGTCTAACAAGACATTACGACCTTTCGAAAGGCATTATGTTCGTGTTTGTTTGCAGTCGGTATTTTTCTGTAAGAACTTTTAAAATTTAAAGTAAAGTTTCATGTGTATCGGTTGTATTTGACTTATTGTCTAGCTCTATTGTCTACTGTGTGAGCACTGTGCATCTTGGATTTTGCGACAAACTGGTAGCTTCGTTGTCAGACGTGTAGTACTAGATATCATCACAGAGAAACTGTTTTGTACGCATTTTAATTTGCAAAGAACTATCTGGACGAATTTCTTCTTATCATTGAGTTTTTGACGACATCTTACGGTGGAGACAAAGTACTGCAGTTTGTTAGTGCGTGCTGTACTATACTCTCCACTGTGCTTTTACACTGGAGTTCCGACATGGGTTCACAGAGTGGTTTAATCAAGTCAAGATTCTTCAATACAGTGTGTCCTTGGAAGCCACACTTCTCACTTGGGGTTTACAATTTCCACGGTCTGCAGTCTTAACAATCTCCACTTTTAACATGCAATTTGCAACGCTTGCAATTATAATTTCATTCTCAAGGTTTACAATTTCAACACTTTTCTTAGTGTTATTGAAACATTCTGGACAGGAATGTTTCGTATAAGGGCTACATTTTGGGAATGTACGTATAGCAGTGAATCCGAAGGCATTATACTTTGCTAATTTGTATGACATTTAACATAATGCCTAGGTTTTTTCAATCAAGTAATCTCTTCGAGGACATTGCTACTGGAAGGTGTAGACGCTTGCTCCTGTTCATCAAACATATTTAGACTAACTGGTTGACGAAACACTGTTTATAATTACGGTAGAGAGGAGAAGATTGTATGTACGAGAGCCACTGAGAAGCAAGAATATGCGTACAATGTTAACTGTATCATTTACTGCCTACTACAATTTTCACGGCAGGGTATTATGCGAAGTCAATCACAATTGTGCTGAGATATTTGCAAGACTCTGGAAAGCAGCCTTCTGCGGTGGGAATCGAACGCGCGGTAATTTGGCGAGAACAGTCCCATCTTGCACAACGAGGATCTGATGTTCTGATTATTCTCTAATAATTTCATTCCACGTTTGCTTTGTCATATCGCTTTTTTCTGTTTGCGTATAGTTTTCCTCTTCAATATCTCAATTGCGTTCATCGGTGGGCCTTCGTTTTTTTTTCAATGTGCAGATAAAATGGGTTTTCCTTGTGAGCAAGTTCTCAGTCAACAGAGCAAATATCGGTATACAAATGTCACCATCCAGTAAACCCTCCATTAACCTCACCACCGACTTACCCACACTGCCATTACTTAAGTAATCCTTGTCTGCAAACACCTTAATTCTTATTGCGCATGTACTCTTTCAACAGGATTGTTAACTCCCTGGCAATTTCATTTGACAAGCTTCACAAATAGACTGCTTTTGTTCGACCTGTCTTGTCCATTCGGTTGTGCAATTAGAAGAGAAACGTCATTAATATCTCATTATCCTAACAACCTATCAATTCCCATGTGAACGCGGAATTGTTTAAATGATAAATCTTTTAATGTTCCAATTACTTGCAGATTTTCACTAATGGGCATAATCCTCTGCCGCTCTCTTCTACAAGTCTCCAAAATGTTAGCCACAAAAATTCATATCAAAGTATTAACTCTGTGCATAATGTAGGAAGCTGTCCCTCAACACCAGTTAACCACAAAAGCTAAGCGCTGGGCATTCGGCACTGCGTTGTTTGAGCACTCGACCGCATCCCCATTGTTCTCATTCTCGGACGAACGTTATTCATATAATTGATTTTCCGGTTGGATCAAATAAAATTCACTTCGTTCTCAGTTCACATCTAAGTCCATAATATTCAGTTTCTGTTTCTGTTCAATTCCAGTAATTGGTTGCTTTTTCACTTGCAAATGCAATTAACAATCATAGTTATCGCATGATATGGGTTTGTATAAAAATATAAAAGATTGATGCAACATAATCCACACAAGTGGCGAAACTGGTTTTCTACAAAGGAAGGAAATGTTTTAAGAAACGAGAATGTTCATAGAAGAACATTGCGGACACATTGGGAAAAAACAGCAGAAAAATACTTGAAACTGCTAAAAAGTGCACAGAATACATTTTCAGAACATTATATATATGTATGTATATATATATGTATATATATATATATATATGTAAAGTCATAATAATGCTGAGGTATTTACTTAACTCCGGACCGCAGGTGTGTGCGGTGAGGATCGAATACGCTTTTCAGGGGATAACATGCTCAACACCGCAGCATGCAGGTCTTTTGTTTCGCCTATCTCTCAGCTAGCGTGTTCGATCCTCACTGCAGACACCTGCTGGCAGGAGTTTTGCAAATATCTCATCATCATTATGGTTACATTTCACATAATACCCTACTTTGAAAAACCTTGTTTATAAACTCCTAATACCTTCGAACAGATATGTCCCGAAAACTGTTGTTCGATTGAATGAAATAGAGACGTGAGGTTAAATGTCGTAAGAAATCCTCATCTATCAGGATTCCAAGGAACAATCTATAAATACGCTTCTATCACCATTTAGAGTGTTTGAAGTGTATTTTTCCGTAATTCTTTTTATGATCTCTATACCCTTTATATGCTTAGAATAGATCTTTTTTTAGCGTGTTTTGCCAGTTGAGGAAACAGCGGAAGTGGACCTAAAGAAGTTGAACGATATGATTTTAAAGGTACTCTTTTTCCGTTCATTGCTAAAGCTAACACGAGGTTATTCCCAAATATAGTTTTTAAAGTGTTTTTTTATACTTCTAGTTCTTAAAAGGTTAAAGTGAAAATGTTGTTACGAAACTTAAAAGGTACTTTATTTGTATCCACTATTGCACTTTTATTCCATGTTTTCTTTGTTTTTAATTTTAGTGTGTATCACGACATCTAAAGGCTAGGGAAGACGGTTCAGTTCCTTCATATTCGATGGAATTCAGAGCTCGCAACAACGACTCGGTGAAGAAGACCGATGCGTTGGAAATGCTTGGCACGGCCGTCAACTCAATTGCTCCGACAGCAAAAGTTGACTTGAACGGTGCGTTGCGTTGTACTGGATTACGTTTCAGAATCAGATCGGCAGAGTCTATGCATAGAGATAAACAAATCATTGCTGGAGATAGCTGTATAAATATCAGGCTGAAAATTGCAACTATATATTCAGCCATGTGATGAATGATTCGGGATCGGTGAAAACGTCTACGTTTCTTTTTGTTTTGTGAATTCAGTGAAGAATTTATTACATTAGAGCTAAACTGTGAGCATTTGCGCATTTTTATATTGGTGTAATTTCTATTCCTTACTCCTATTTTTTATAGCCATCTAATAAACCGAGCGCACCCACGGCATGTCTTGTAGACTGCTTCTTAGTCTGTACCTATACCGCTAGAATAGTCTCTCGAGAAACTAACCTTTCTACTACTCTTGAGGTTGCTGATCGTATCAAATTCCGTGTCACTACCTTATAACAGACAAAAGCAGGAAGGCTCACATACACCAATTAAATGACGGCGCCTTTGTCATTCGTGGAGAGAACCCTCCGTTACGAAATGCCTAAGGCGTTGACTTCGTCGCAAACAGGTTTGTTTTCCATCTAATTACCTCACCAATCACCATGTTTTCCAATTCTTCGTCTTCAACTTGCGCGTCATAAGAAAGTCAGTGTCATCAACTATTACTCACCAACTTGTACAGCTGGTGAGAGCGAACTGGAAGCGTTTTACAGCAAGGTGGAAGAAGTGATCCATAACGACAAGTTTTTCTATAAATTCGTTGTTGGAGACTTTAACGCAAGATGAAGAACGACCAACGAAAATGACTGCAGGTTAGGAAAATTCGGAATAGAGGAACGAAATAGGAATGGAAGCCGTCTTATAGGACTCCTGTCCACGGCACATCTCTTCCAAGGAACTCATTTTTCGAAGAGAGAGAAAATCGCTGATGAATATGGGAGTATCCTATCGACACGACTTATGCGGAAATCGATGGTATTGTCGCGAGCAGAAAATGGTTCCTCTTTAGCATCTTAGTGATGACATCATACTGCACTGGATTCGCCGGGCGAGGACTCGGTTCCGTCATAAGCTGAGGAAGAAATGTCATCGTCCATGAAAAACGAAACAAGTTGTGTATGACTAGGATTCTCAATAAAACCTCACCTCATTGGAACAGATAGATGAACTCGATAAAGTTTCTCTATCTGTTCAAGTTCTGAACAAGAAGTTCAGGTAGCATTTTCACTGCTGCTAAGGAATTGCTCGAAAAGAGAAGGAAACTGAAGCTTGCTTTTACTGGAACCCACCTAACACAGCTAGTAACAGGTGTCAGCTACAGATTTTTGCCGGAGGATTTACATCTGTATAGGCAGAAAAAGTTATTGGAATCAGCTTAAAAGCAATCCACTCTGAAGAAGTATCGTCAGAATTTTGCGAATATGTTGTTCCAGTAACCGCCTCGATGAAAAGAATAGGACTATTTCTATATCCCGCTCTGATGCGGAATTTATAGCGGTAAAGTTCTATTCCAATATTTTTCGCTTTGCAATCCTCTTCTCGGACAACGAAATCCACGCTGGCAAAAAGCCGCTCAGGATTGTACTCTCTGAAGTTCGAGTTGCGATACAAAATATGAAGAGAGGCACAGCTCAAGGATCCGGTAGTATCACCGCCTATTTCCAAGACCTGGTGGGCAAAAATTACGCGTACTTTTCGCTACTCACATGACATCTTACCTTCAGGAAGAAAAAATCAGATTAGTGGAGGACCTCGCGCAAGGTCATCCTCCTTAAGAAGGGTGACAAGAGGGATCTTCGTAACCACCATCCAATATGCCTGTTGAGTGTACTTTACAAGTTGTCCACGAAAATTATCCTTTTGCGGGTATAAAAGACCTTAGATGAGGCAGAGTCTGTTGAGCAAGCAGGATTCCGACGGGAATTCTGCTGCATGAACCCCATCAGTGCCATTTATTCTTTGTTAACTTTTATCGACTCGTGAAAGCGTTTGACATCGTCGAAACGAACACAATCCTATCACCGCTCGACAACAATAGAGTGTATTCGTCCTATATGCGAACACTGGCAGACTGTTATCGCAACTGCAGCACATATACACAGCCTTCCCATCGACAGTCACCATAAAGAGAATAAAGGATAAAGTTCTCGGCGTTGATCAATCCCTGAGGGATGCGCCGTGCATTCGACTTTATTAAGCATTGTTGAAGGTAATTGAATGCATATCTGGCCTTTACAATGACTCGCGGTAGTCTCCCGATGTATCCAGCCGTTGCTGTTATCCTCCTAAATAAATCTGGTACCAATTTACCGACCCAAGAATGATGTGAAGCTTGATGGGCCATGGGTGCGGGGATCGATCCCATGTTTGTGTTTGTGTTGCGGGGCACCTTTGACCACTGCGTCATCTGCGCGATGGTTCACCATACTTATAGAAAAAGGTGTTAGACAAGGCGACATAAAATCGCCAAACCTGTTTACTGATCCATTGCAGTGAGACGAAAAGGTCATACGTAATGGTGAAAAATTCCTATTTCGAGAAGTACCAGTGAAGCAGGAACGATTTTCAGTGAACTCGGCCAAGTGGGGAGAAAACTTTTGCATGGCTAATAAATAGGACGAAGACTCTGTTAATGAAGAATCCATAATGCGAAGGTGAACAAATCGAACCGGATGACTATCTCGTTGCAGAAACTGCCTCGTACGTGTTCATTGAGCGTTCAATGAACATGAAGAACAAAATATATGAGGAATTAAGGCGAACAACATGGGTCGCATTCAGGTTACGTGAAGAAATCGCCGATCAAACTGACGGACCGAGACTTCGCGCGAACGTTTCGATTCAGCGTTCTCCTAGCGAACTGTTACGCAGCAGAAACGTGGAGTGATACTTTAACCTATACATGAAATTGCAATACATGCTCTATCCTCGTACTCTGTTCTTACATAAAAGTTTTTTAAGAAAAAAAAATCGAGCTCATCTCGTAGCTGTCCTACAGTCATCACAAAAAAGGTTTAAAAAAATGTAAAATGTTAATGTTGAATTTTTGTAAAGTTTTTTTTATTGGGATATAAAAAAGACCAATATAGAGAGCTGTTTTTCTCGATCAGAAAACAAGGTTGGTTTTCAGATGAAGAAAAACAGTGAGTTATTGATCAATACCGAGGTTAAAAGAAAGTATGTCTTGGCATATAGAAAGCAGCACATATTTCAACACCGAGAAGTTCATTTTATGGTTTCAGCTTCCATGTTTGTTTTCCACATTTTAAAAGTGGGAAAAGTTATTAGTTAGCCGTTCTTTTAGGCGCGGATGTCACGATAAGTGTTCTTTTGCTACGGAAAACATTAATGGTTGGCGCGGCACCTAATTATTTTGGGAAACGAAAATACATTATGCGACCAAAAGAGGAGAAGTTCGACGCCGTTGAAGTGGACCAGAAAAAAATAAATGTTGAAAATGTGTTGAAAGAGGTGACATCGTTGGATAAGTGAGAGAAACAAGAAGTGTGATGTTAAGTAATGAAGGTATTCATATTGTCTCCATTAATAGGCAGTGCTGTCATCGAAAGTTCCGTTAATTTCTTTGATGCTCGTATTTTCTTATCGTTTTGTTGTTTTGTCTGGATCATCAAGACTTTCCTTTTTAAATGTCATGTTTTAATAAACAGATTTCCGATGTCTTTTAAGTACCTCGGCTCATTATCGCGGTTTATTAACACAGAAGTATATTTAAGCTTAACAAGTGAGTTATAACCACTTTGATCCATTATATCTCGTAATATATTTCTTCCATCTATAAGCACTAGAAAGCAGACCTATTTACCCGGGCTGTAACAACATTTTGCCATAGACATAATTCAAACTCGTCACATCTAGGTATTCACACTGCACACGGCTTTTTTCTAAATTTGTATTCGTTCTTTTTCTATCAACTTTCCCATTTTCTTCGTCTTTGATCCACGTGTTTCTGTTGAAGAAATGACGAACATAACGTTGAAGCAGACGTCTATGACCAGTTTTGATTTTATTTCACATATCTATTGCGCATAAAATATTCAGGAACTCGGAGCTGTTCGTTGCAGAATTTGAACCTGTCCTTGTTGTGTTCTCTGAGGTGGTAGTTCAGGTTTTCATTTGAGTACCATTCTCTATTAGTAAAAACAACGGAACCGGTTTTTCCCAACTTGCATCATTCCCCAGTGCATCACTATTTAACTGTTCAGCTGCATGTGATGTTTCTAGAACTCTTTAAACACTGATTTTCCAGATTTCATGTTTCGGCCTCCAAGTGAGGGTTGCAAATTATTGCAATTGATTGGAATATCTAGTGTAATAATTCTGTCTTTCTTCGTTGTTTTGTGTTTATGCTCTGAGAAGGCTCATCCGCTTCAGCGATATTTTGTAAATTCATCTATCACCTCTCCGGCTGTTCGTTGGTGAGCTCGGGAGATGCAGTAGAGTCTTTTGTCCTTATGGGATACGAGTGTAGCCTAGTAGTTTCTGTTCGATTTGAAGACCTGCACAGTATCAATTTTCTTCTAGCATCCTTGTGAAGCATTCCGACTGTTATGTAGGTGCTCTACCTGCTGTGCGTTTGTCGTTTCGTGGGATCCACGCGCTGTCGACTCGTATTCATTGGTTGTCTTTTAGACCCACTTCTTGTCCTGCCCTCCTGGCTTTCCACATCGGACCTGCATAACGACGTCCCTGATCTCTGGTCATCGACGCATCACAACCTCGCTATCGGAATAAATAGACTTGTTTTCTTGCAAAGATGTTTAGATTGTAATACTTCTTATCTTGATGAATACTTACGTGCATAATTTTGCCTCGCTTCCGTGTAGGTCATCGCCTGATTTCGTCTTGTTAAGGTCTTACTGGTTTTCAACACTAGTAGATGATAGTGGTGGCCTACCGATCTATCGAGTCAGTGCTTTTATCCTTCCAGACTGGTCTGGTACGAATTCGCTGACCCCGGAAGGATGGAAGGCTTGGTGAACCATGGGCGCGGGGATCCATCCCATGAGTATTGCAGGACATCTCTAACCACTGTGTTATACGAGCCCCATGATTGATCATAGCGATGGCAATTGAAGTAACAATTACCACTCAGTGAATCGGTTATAGAAGAGATTTTTTGAATATTACTATGACCAGAATACAGCTCTTCCCTTTCGGCTTCCTTACATCTATGTTGGATAAGCTATCAGTTTATCACAAAAAGAATAGAACAAAAGTTTGGTGCGTCAAAACAAACTACCAGAAATAACATAACTTCCATAGAGATTCCATAGACATGCCCGCACTACCAGCCTATAACTCTTGTAAAGTTAAGGTTGTCGCCTAAATGTTAATAAGGCTGTATTTGAAAAGTAGAATTTGATAACAATGGCTATTTGTGTAAAATCGGCCACTGTTTAGTTAGCCTATTGAAATTGCAGGTAATATGGTGCGAGTAGTCTAGTGGTAGTAAGACCGTTTATCACGCATGAGCAATGGTTAGGCTGGGCTATGGGCCAATCAATTCTCTTATCGTTCCGGAGTTAGAACACAGGTACTAGACTTCCGGGATGAGTTCAACTGTTCCACCTCACAAAAGGATGGCCACGCCATCCATGAAAATCTGGGAACGCCTGATCTAGGCGACTCCAGAATTTCAGAGAGAGTCCACTCGACCAGAGTCCAATGAAAATTAAAAGGAAAATACACATGCAAACATCGAGTGGCTTTAGTGAAGTGTGTATGCGAGAAAACGAAACGAATCGGATTGCGAGAAGTGCTAGTCTACGCACAGTTTATGTGATGCCGACCTGTGCAAAAAATAGTAGCACATGGAACTCGGACCGCAGAAAAAAGTTAAAAGGACGATTTTGAGAGGCATGAAGCAGATTTTCTTGTAAAATAGTAGTAGTGTTTTTCATACAGTACGTTTCATCCGCACAGTTTCTTTTTACATTCTTCCTTCGTACTTTCATCGCCTTCTCATCACGTCTTGAACAGTTTAGCCGCATTACTTTGGGATGGGGATACTGTGGTAGTCAAACTGCAGTGTACAGCATGGGGCTCATTCCTGGCATGATAACACAAGCTGAAGTGTCGACATTTGCATTCTGAGCCCAAATATAAGTTTGGCACCAGGGGTGTAATTGTTATCATTGCTGCCGTCCTATGAGGAACCCAGAAAATTTCCACCACCAACAAATTACAAATGGAAGCCAGACTTTGTTAGAATCCCCAAGACGTGTGGTTATGTTACTTCCGGTTAATTTTTAGTTTAGTTAAGTCGTTCATTTGTATGTTGTAACTAAATTTACCCAACATCGCACGTTATATGGGTTACAGCACTTTTTGCACTGCATTCGTTACCTAGCATCCATCAACCACGATGGTCTTCTATGTGAATGAGCCCTTTGGAATCCTCAAATATTCTTACTCAATGCAGGATGGAATTAGAGCCTTGTGTAAATTAAACGGCATCACTGAACGGTTAATTCCTGTGCAGATGATAAAAATGAAATATACTTGGGTTTACGCTATATAATCTTCTGTCCTCATTTACATATTGAACCTTCGTTAAGTTAGATTTTCCTAGAATCAAGAGATAACCATAGAACGTTCTCTGGTGTAGGGGGACCAGGCCTGTCCTCAATCAAAGGTGGATTTGGCGCCTTGCAGCCAGGATTCTTCAAGAAATGCAGTGATTTTTGCAATTAGTTGACCAAGCTGTCGAGTACAATATAACGAGCCGAATGCGACTTTCACATCTGTTATGCTGATCCGAACGCTTTCCAAATTTAATTCGTTTCCTCGCATCCGTCAACCACCTTCAACTTCTACGTGGTGCTTTGGATTGTGCTTGACGATTTCCATAGCACCATGAATCCCGTTGATTGCTGAACAAGTCATTTTTGCCTGGAGTCCTGAGATAGCCGGACTAGAGCGTTCCTGCTTGTATTGCAGAGAATGGTTTTTGCCAGGCAAGTCCGGCACCAATTTCCTGACCCCCGAAGGAATGAGATGCTTGGTGACCCTGGTCGTGATCCCACCTGCACCGTGCTCATGGTGATCGGCATCGCTACCACTGGTCTACCTGTCCCCTAGCAAAGCTGTTCACTACAACAATGGTGGTTATCGATGTGTTAATCAACGAATAACTCGGGCGGATACCAGTAAATGACAGCGCTCTCCATCGAATTCCTTATTTGCGCAGGGAGTACGAAGAAAGCCACATTTGTTGCTCAATACCCATTTTATTCCACACAGCGAAGAAGTTCAACAGTAAGTTCGTCCTACGTTACTTTAGCATAGATTTGTTTTTTGCTGGGTAACTAGATGAAATATCAAAATTCTCAGCCTGTGAGTCCTGATTTAAAGTGATTCGTCATTATTCATGTTAGCTGGAATTTTGGGTTCCGGCCCGAAGAGGACGAATCTGGTTCCTTTCACTCGCCACGATCAGTGGTACTTTGTCTCTGTCTATGTGGATGATATATCCCAGCGTGGAACCACTGTTCATGTGACTTGCAATGTGAAAGTGAAGACAAACCGCAATGAGTCTTCACTTCGATGGTGCTGTGCCTACGCCTTGAGATGTAGTTCATGCTTGTGCGAAATAAAGAGGCGAAGAATAAAGGTGTTTAATCGCACTAAAGTCTTTCCGTCTTTTCATTTGTCTTTCTGTCTGTTATAACTGTCCTTTACGCCCACACAGTATTTTGGTGTACTTTTATTTTTTATTAGCAGCTAATTATTTTCCTTAATCTGTAATGAAACGGCGTGCAGACTACCTATTCGCATTAAAAGAAACCTTCCCTATAATCTTATAGGAACTTTCTTCAACAAGTTTATTCGTCTGTTTGCTTTTTTTATTCTCAATACCTTTTCAACGTTTATCGTTTCCAGCTTTGAGCTATGGTATTATGTCTTCATAGCTGTATTTTTCACTTGTTTTAGTAATGAGCGTGATTCCGAGGCCGATTGCTTTCTCATTTATAAGCCAGTACCTTGTTTTTCGGTCAAGTGTGCTTCTCATCCAGTTACCCTTCACGATCGTCATGTGTACCATATGTCCCGAGCTCTTTGTGAACGAGATTGTATCGGCGACTAGTGGTGGTGCAGGTACCGGTTTCCTCCAGCTAGACAGGTGCTGTTAAAGAGCGGACCCCGGCGACGATCTTCTTTCTCGAACTAGGTCATTCTCAACATCGCATCATACCCTTAAACCTAGTAACCACCATTTTGATAGTGGAAATTTCTCCATAGACTTCCATGATGAATTGAGCCTGTTTAAAGAGCAAAGAAGAGATAGATGGTTTGCTAGATCGTTCAACGTAGATGAAATGTAGATGACTTTGTCTCCATGTTAGGGTTGGAGTATTCTTCTTTAGGTATTCGTCTAAACCTACATTAAATTGAATACTCTTAGAGGTGTAAAACTACTCCGTGTTTACCTCCCTCATATGCTTATGAACACATGAGTGTACCGCGCTCAT